CGACGAGACGATAAAGAATGGTAAAAATCAGGTAAAACGTGTTGAAGAATAGTTGCAAGAATAGTGGAAGACTCTTCGACGACCAATTTCCACAGATACGAGTAATATTTTTCCTGAACGGTGGTCAGGTGACAAGAAACGATCTCTTCTTTGTCACGTTTTTCATCGACGAGACGGTAAACAACGGAAAAGCACGATTTATGTAGAATGAAAGGGTTAAGTTAGGTAATACCTCTGGATTAACATCGGCTCTGTTTGTTTGCTCGAGCACGACGTACGTAGAACAAGCTTCTCGTTGAGACTTGAACAGCGTTAAATTAGATCGACGCGTAATCGTGTTCCCGCTAGATATGCAGCATTGAAAAATCGAGCTAAAATTAAAGCCAACGCTCGTTATTTCGGATAGGACGACAGATGGTAGGCGGCTTCTGTTTTTCACGGAAAGCTTGTTTTTTATTTAACTATTCACTCTTTTTTTCCCGCCTTACGAAATGTACACGTGCAATATTTTACGAAACAATTAGAACGAACACAATGTGCCGCGTAAGCAGGAAACCTGTCGAAAATAACTTTGCGCGTTGTTGAAACAACTGATTCGGACGTTTGCAAACGAGTAAAAGAACGCTTCGTCAACGTAGCTTTATGAATCAACAATATTAAGGTGGTTAATGAACCTAACGCAAATATCTGCTTCCTTCTACCTGAATTAATTCAATCCCCACAACCTGTTCAGAATGCTCTGGCAAATCTGAACCACATATGGTGCACAAGTGTGTTCCTCGTCATTCCGCGACACACAGTGAAAAATAGATGGTTCCGTGTATCGCAAGTCTGATTATAAAAAGGAACAAAAAGGTGTTAGTCGATAAAGTCGACCGAGAGATGGATTACGCAATCGGTTAAATATGCCAGCGCGCATCTGAATAGGAAAATGTGTTTGAAATGTATTTAAAGAATTATAGCGCGACTCTGGTGTCTTACGGAGTTACGTAAATCGGCTGACCATCGGGAAAATTGGCATCTGAAACGTGTGTAACGCGAGTTTTCGATTTTCCTCGCTTTTCCTTTCCCTATTCACCGGTGAATATTCATCGAATATGCCTCGTGAATACAGTTTTACAAACCAGTTGCTACAAATGTCTAAATCGCCTGCGCTCGCTCAGATAAGATATACAAATCAGAACCCGGCCAGTAATGTACCTAATTTGCAAATTAACCTTGTTCCTTGGTGGAAAAAGAGCAAAAAGATATTACTATCGTGTGATTACCGACCAATGCAGTTTTCTTTTTTCCCTTATTTGTTGCTTTCGATTTTATCGCCACGTGCATAAAGACCGATATGTTATTCGGAATTTCGTGAACGTAATGCAGTGGCGTACAGTTACGCTTATTTTTCGACTAACAGTTCTGCTATCTTTACGTTGTATAACTCTGATGAATAGCATCCGACTTCTCGTGAAAAAAAATCTTCCTCGTCGAGGATTATCGCCGAGTGTTTAGTGGAAGAAACCATCGACGCGTGGCGAAGTACGAGAGTGCATTCCACTTGCTATAATTAACCTCTTCTTCGAATTTTGTCCCCGAAATGCATGCAGGCCGGTGTTGAGATTGGTCAGTTACCTTTAATTATAAACTGGCAAAGGTGCGGTAGCCTCGGGGCACATCTGCTAATCGAAACACTTGAACGTTCAGTCTCCATCTGAAACACGAAGGTCAATCCTCGAGTTAGAACGACGAAATTCACTTGGTCGCGAATATGTAACATACTTCAACGATCAAATTAGAACAACGAAGGAAGCACTTGTGTCTTCCTCGCTACGGAAGAAGTAGGTAAATGTCCGAACCAATCGAATCGTTCGCGCGCTCAGTGTCAATATTGCCATTATCTCGGCCTTGACCTACGCGCTTCCGATCTTACCACGCGTTTCTGGTTATTTTACGCTTCAGAAAGAGAACAAGAAAAAAAAAAGGAAAGAAAAAGAAACGCGAAAGTGTGAATGGAAATTGGTGGAAAACCGAGAGAAACTCATGGTATCGTGATTCTAACGGTATCTAACATCTTGATAGAATCTCATAATAATCCCCCTAAATTAAAACGGATGAAAGTTCGAGAATGTTGCATGTGCTTTCTACACGGTTGCCGGAGATAACTCGATTTTATTGTCTTTGTTCGTAGTAACGGGCCACTCGCATAACGTACTATATACCTCTCGCCTCAAGCACGTGACGAGCACGTGGTACGGGCGTGTGGGCACCGTTTCGCTTAGAAGTGCACGTATCGCTCCCTGGACGAGGCGAACTTACGCGAGCAATGGGCGATGTGTCACGCAGAACGCTCGACCCGCTAGTTAGGCGTGCACGCAAGCACGTAGAAAACAAACGTCCACCGCACAACACACCCATCTCTTCTTCTTACCACTGACAACAAAATTTTCGCAAATTGTATCTCTATCTCCGTACACATTCGAGATCCATAAGCAAACATTTCACAAGAGATTTTCCTTCTCTATTTCGTTCAACATGTGGACTGATAAACAAGTACCATTTTCGTTGTATCACTAAAAATAGAATCTTCCGTTTAACGATAATCATTCTTCACAAGCCGTCGTAACAATGAACGTGTTGAATAAATTCAAACGAGTACATACGACTGAAAACTAATTATCTCCGATGAGTTTTCGTTTATCTATACCCGTTGACATCACTGCCGGGGCAAACTCTATTGGAGAAAGTGTAATTCGCCAGAATGATCCACGGATGATCGTTACAGCTCAGGGTACAAATTCCGTGAATAACGGTGGTATAATTTTTATCGGAAAAAATAATCAATTAGTATTTTACGATCGGGTGACACGTAGTTTGTTCGAATAAAGTGACAGTTTACGTTCACCTGTTCAGCTTTCTATCACGATAAGTAGCAATTTTTCACTTGTTGCCTCGAAGAGATGTCTATCGATGAGCGATGATCGTATAAATTTAGAAATGCACCGTTTATCACGATCCGATATCGTTCGTGTTATCTTGTCCTCGCTACAGTTACCTTCAAACTTCCCTCTTTCTCATTCTCGCACGGTTCGCGCTTCTTTAAACGTCCTCTTTATTTCAATTCCTTCCTCGTTCGGTTAATTAACTGATGCTGAGTAACTAACGACTAAAAACAAAGTTTACTGGATGCAGAATAAACGAGGAATCAAGGCTGTTCTGATCTTCCTTATCGTCTCGATCGTAAACGATTATAACCACACAAGAATATTATTTAACACAAAAATATTCAACATTTCTTTAACGATGGAAATCTCTTTTTCTTTTTTATCCACGAAACAAGTGTTTTTTAGTAAACGAATTTCGATTTATTTTTATGATACTTCGGTCGAAAACAATTCCAAAGTATCAGCCATTAACCTATAATTGTTTACCGCATCGTCGATGCTGCTGTTTAAAGGCGACCACGCGTAGTTCACGCGGCAACATGCATACACTTCGAATGCTAATTCAACGGAGAAACGACAGGTGATACTGAAAAGATGGTCGCTGAATAAATTAGCTTCTAAGTAGTGGGATAGAATTATTGTCACTTCACTATTCGTACCTACCACTTGAACAATACGAACGTCAGAAATCTTTCCTGACATCTCGAACCTTCGAGAGAAAAATACGATCCTACGACAATTGCATTACGGCGGTAAATAATTGATACGTTAAGAATATACACAATTTTCTATGACAAATAAACGAAAGAAAACGATCCTCGTATATGACTGCAATTCGGGACGGATTGAGAATCGATACTTTTTCGCGATACCAATGTTGAAACAGTAAAACAGTAAGAAATTTAGCACGCGGGGGAAAATATTCTCTCACGATCGCCTTGAAAATGAATCAACCAGAATTTCTGGCTTGCACATTGTACATCGTTTGACAACAGCATGTTCCGCGAATAATTTTGGCTATCGACCAAAACGCGGCGAAGTAACTGCAAACTCGGCCAAATGGACGAGTTTTTCACTGAGTTTCTCGCACGAACATAATCTCGAGTGTACGCGACACAATGTCAGAGTTTCTTAAGAACTCGACTGACCTAGAAAGGCCAACCATTCTGGACCGCAGCATCGCCACCTTGTTCCCGGTAAAAGAGACGTGATATAGTGTTGTTACCTGTCGAAAAAGATGGTTGCAACAGTGACGTGTTTTCTACCATCGAATCTCGAACGTCAGCCATAAAGCATCCTTTGATAAAAGCCTCTTCTTACCACCGAATTTTTCCCTGCACTTGGAATATATCACACGAGTAATCGAACATTATCTCCACGATGCAAGGTCGATAAAGAATATCTCTCGTATCGTTCGAGAAATTTTCTCGATGCAATTGTTTTGTTTCATTGTGCACGGAGGGAAAATATCTCTCTCGACGAAGAATGTATACCTAATCTATTGCGCAATCAGGAATCTATCTAGGAGAATAGTTACCGTACCGGGATTACTGGAAAAGTGTGTTTTCATTCATCTTGCTCCCGGTTTGTAATTATTTCACCGTGTTCCTTCTGCTCCTTGACATATATAATTCACCATGGACGCACATTCACCACCATATTAATTCGAAAAAAAATCGAACGCCACATGGCTAGCGACGCAGTAGTCACCTGGCGAAAAATCCGGGAACTAACTCTATCGAATCGTACTCAATCGTCGGTAACACGAACAACGACGTTTTCTACAGAATTAATAAAAATAAAATAATATATTTAAAAAAAAATAAAATATGTTCTGAAAAATTTTTCTCCAATTTCATCGAATCAGACCCCACTTGAAATGCAACTACGAGATACAATTTTCATTAGTCGTCGTGCAGAAAGGTGTCACGTGCCAATTAACCACGTGCACCGACGAGTGCAAGGGTTAAAGAAAAGGGTGAAATGCACGTGTCTGATTGTGGGGCTTCGAGCAACCGGTGACGATAATTGGATCACGGTTCGAACTATATTTTAAGGTCAGCAGATTATCGGAACAATGTCATTCTTTCCTCGAAGCCCCGAGAGAAACGATGGATTTCACCCACAAACGAGTGTACGAGATACTATCATCAATTCTTCGCCCGCTTATAAGAGAATCCGCGGAAGAAGACACCGAGGATGAGACATAATAAGTTGTCAACTTCCGACACACGCCCCTCCAAGTTCATTAAAATTACTCAGTGACCGTGAAAGAAAAAGTTTATTCTCGATGTTCCATCGGAGTGCCGGGATGAAGTCGTCGAGATTCGGTAGATCGCGATCGGAAAATGATTTTACCACCGTGAAATTGCACGAAATCGACGATCTGTTGTATGGGAAACGTATGAAACTGTCGAAGACGTCGTTTCGCGTAAGTGATCATAGCGAGTCACGCTAAAACCTTCATTACTCCATCAATCCAAGCAATTTTTCACTTAATACCGTTCCAAGTTTCCAACAGTGAAATACCCATCTTTTCAGCAATACATATCCCAATCAGCTTCGTGCGGTATCGATCGATTAGAAAAAACTTGAACCGTAAAATAATTGAAAGAAAAAAAAAAGAAAAGAATTGATAGATTTCTTAAACTTTTTATGGTTCAAGTTCTTTTAATTCTGTAAATAACTGTGATAGCTGAACGACGTAGTCGAAGAGTGTATAAAGACCACCGAAAATGGATCAGAAGAGAAGGGATATTATTTTCCGAACTGCGACTCTTCCGTCTGGACGAGATCGTGCAAAAGGGAAGTGATAGAACCGATATCCGGCGAGGTAACAGGCAAGATACCCACCTGGTTGAAAGGAACATTGCTGAGGAACGGTCCAGGCTGTCTAGAAGTCGGCGAATACAATTTCAACCACCTGTTCGATAGTTCAGCTTTATTGCACCGGTACGTCTGTAACAAAGAGTGGAATTGTCGGTAGGATATGCTTGAAGAATTTAGATATCACTTACATTTTAGATATCAAGATTTTAATCATCTAGTAGCGATACCGAATACCGATTTATCAGTGAACAACTGAAACTGACGTAAGAAATGTAACATTAACGAAGGAATTACAAAGAAAGTTTAATTAAAATCATTTTTTCTATAAGATCTCCTATTCAGAAAATTTGGATATCCAGATATCTATGTCACTGTTAAAGGGTTGACATTATCCTTCCGTTTTTTCTAAGCGAAATATTCACCGCGTGTAACCCAGACCTTGAATTAATTAGCCACCGTTGACGAAACAGCGTTACGTTAAGTGTAATCGATCACGGCTTCCGGAAGCCTTACATCATACGAACACCGACCACAATTACGAAAGCTTAGAAACTTCTTCGGGGAATAACGAAATGAATTTTTTCCACGTGTTTCTAAAACGACAGATTCGCTATTGCCAATGGAAAAGTGAGTTATCAGTGTAGATTCGTTCAGACCGACGTCTACAAAAAGAACAACGCAGCTCGGAGAATAGTTGTGACCGAATTCGGCACGAAAGCAGTACCGGATCCTTGCAAAAGCATTTTCCAAAGGTAGCAATTTCCTGCTTTTCTTGAAATATCGACGAATTTTAATCAATTTTTAAATTCTCTCTAGGGTTGCAGCGGTGTTTAAACCTGGCGACCATTCAGATAACTCGATGATTTCGGTCTATCCATTCTGCGACGAGTATTATACATTCGCGGAGTCAGCGGTGATTCATCGTATCGATCCGGAAACTTTGGAGACCAAAGGCAAAGTACGTGATTTTCATTATTCACGCTGTTCGCCGATAAATTATCCAGCGAAATGTTCATCATTTTCTTCGTCGATTTTTCCACTCATAGGTGAATGTGTCCGATTACGTTGGAATCGTCAATCACACGTCTCACCCTCACGTGATGAACGATGGTACAGTTTACAATATGGGCATGAGCGTGACTCCACGAGGACCTATGTACAACGTCGTTTGTTTCTCACCCAGCCAGATTATCGTTGGTTAGAAGAATCCTCTGAATATTCTAGATATTGTCCGGTCGCGTAGCCCACCGGCCAGTAAAGAGCCACAAACCAATAAAACAGTCCTTTCCAGCCTTCTTCCTAGCCCCTAACAAATTCCTCTCCTACCGTAAACAAGTTCAACACGCATCCTGGTCATCTTTACTATCTCTTTCCCCTTTCCGGATTTTCCCCAAATTATTTCAACCTTTGCAAGCCACCTTCACCCTCACGTTCTCCTAATATCCAATAACATATCCGCATTTCTCGATTCCTTCCTTCCACCATCTTTGGCTTCCAACCAATCAACACACACACACACACACACCGGGGTAATATATTCGAACGCATAACTCTAGAATAGACGATTGAAAAACATTCCGACCAAGGGACACGTTATTCACCATCCCCACACCATCTATTAGAATTTCGCCCTTCCGGCAACGATACCACTCGCGTTCGAGATCAAACAATTTTCGTGCCGCGAGTCGAGCATCCTACAGATATTTTAGATGTCATGTAATAATTCGTTGATTTTTGTCAGACGATTCAGGGGAAGAGAAGGAGTTATCCATGTTTGAACAGGCAACGATCGTCGCTAGCGTTCCATCCAGGTGGCTGTTGAATCCTTCCTACATGCACACCTTTGGAATCACCGAGAATTACTTTATAATCGTGGAACAACCATTGGCGGTGTCTCTGACCACGGTAATATCATGCAAAGTGAAGCAACAACCGATGCGCGCCGCTTTAAAGTGGCACGAGAAGGAAAACGTAAGTGAAGTTAAAGGATATTTCACGAATTTTCCTTGTCTCTGATCGATCATTTCTATCGTTACAGACACTGATACACGTGGTTTCGAGGGAAACAGGATTGCTGGAAAGAACGTTCATCTGTGAACCGTTCTTCTATCTTCATATTATCAATCAATTCGAAACGCGTGATCGTGATTACGTGGTAGTGGATATTTGTTGCTATCGCGATTCGAAAATGTTGGATTGTATGTTCGTCGACGCGATGAAGGTGGTGTAGAATTGGTTTTTCTTTCGGTGAAATTAAAACACCGGCTAGAAATAGAGAATATCAGGTGGAATAATTTTGTTAACGATTGCAGAACTTGCATAAGAATCCTGACTATGCCAAGATGTTTCGAGGTAGACCTCTGAGGTTCGTGTTACCGATGAAACGTCCGCAATCGGACGTGCCATTGGAGCATAATTTGATCACGGTAAAAACGGTGAACCAGGGTCTGGAGGCTTTCCAATACGATTCTGTTAGATATGAAAATAAGTCTGATTCGAAGTTCATCGACGAGTCGAGCTTGAACGATACTCCTGTTAAAGCTAATCGAGATAAGAGGAACGATTATAAGAATGTTCTTCAGCGAAGAGCGGCTGCTCATAGACTTCCGGATGGCAATGTCTTCGTGAAACCGGAACTTCTTTGCGATTTGGGTTGCGAAACACCGCGACTTAATTACGATTCTTATCTTGGAAGAGAGTATCGATACTTTTACGCTATCTCTAGCGACGTCGACTTGGAGAATCCTGGAACGGTAACTGCATTCTTGTTTCTCGCAGAAATTTCACGCGTTTACCGATGAATTTTCTAGATCATCAAAGTGGACATTCTGGAGAAAACGAGGAAAACTTGGTGCGAGAAGAACGTTTATCCGAGCGAGCCAATTTTCGTAGCAGACCCTAATGGAAAGGTGAGAGAGAAGAAAGGAATTTGGATTTAGTGTATTGTTTTAGCTTTACATCGGTTCGTATTTTTGTTCTTTTCAGAATGAAGACGACGGCGTGATTCTAAGCTCTATCGTGTGGTGTGATAAAGAGACGCGCGCTGGTCTGCTGATTCTAGACAGCGTGACTCTTACGGAAATCGCGAGAGCCACCTTCGACACTCCTGGCCCGGTGCCAAAGTGCTTACATGGCTGGTTTACCTTGGAAAAGTAAAATAAACTGGGGCTCGAAATTGATCATCGTCGGATCTTTGGTTGTTCGATGTGAAAACGTGATATTTTCGATCAGTATTATACGAACATCCTTGATTATCTACATATATATTCTTTCAACTGTTTCCCAATTTTTTTCGCTCGATCGATAAATATGTTAAACGGTACGAGTAATTTGGGGCATCCGTGATAATTAAAGAAGGATATCAATGGTAAAATAATATGTATATAATATAATAAATTATTTAATGTCTTCTTCCGATTGTACAGTAAATGTACGTTATATTTGGCGATTAGACGAACGTAAACCTTCAATGATCGTGTAACGCAATAAATTTACAATAAAATGGGATGCATCGTGTGAATATTCGTCAGATGGAATGTAAAATGCCCTACGACCGTTTTTTATCTTAAATTAATATCGGCAGACGGTCGGATCCGCTGTCGTCTGGAACGGAAGCTCGTCCGCTTCTGGTCCTAGATACCCTTTACGAACGATTAATTAAGACGACATCGTTTACAATTATCCTGTAATTGAATAGTTTGTTTTTTCTTTTTCTAGTGAAAACCTCCTACGTTGGACGTTTGAATCGGTTAAAAAGAAATTCTAAATTAAACTTGAATCCTCCTGAAGCTTTTTTTTATTAAAAATGTCTCGCTTGTTTAAAATCAACCGATGAACGAATTAGAATAAATAGGTTGGCACAACCATAGTCATAAAATTACACACTACAAGAGCACTCAGCTTTCCTCCTTGATAAAATAACAACATCGTTTCGTTGTTCCTATTATATGTATAATACATTATTATATAATATCGATCACGTTTCACGATTCACGCGTCGTTCACAGCAATATTCGTATAGAACGCGAAGCCACTCGTTGGGAAATCACCGAAGCACCACATAGTTTAATAATACATAGTCCTCTCGAGAGGCTTCGTATAAAGGAGGATGATCCTTTGAGCACTGATATCACCAAGTCGAACGGATACATCGACGCGTCGTAATCACATTCACTCTAATCACACGCACGTGGTAACTCTCTCTATTGTTAGCGTTATTATTACTGTTATTATTATTATTATTATTCTGCAGAAGATAGCTACGGAATACGGAGAAGAAATAGTGGGTGGAAAAGATAAAAAGGAAATCAGCTAAAAGAGGAAATAAAATAAGAAAAAAAAAAACAAAAGGAAACTTGACTGTATAGACCCTGATATGAATCTTCGGTACCGAGTGCTTCTTCCTTCTACGCGCAGAAAGAACAATAAGCATGCTGAATCGTCTACCAATTTCCAAGCCTTGAGAACGTTTCGCCCTGCACGATAATCTTGTCCCCGAGATTAAGTACGAGAGGAGTTCGAAAGCGATCTTTGCGACTAAGCAAGCGGCTAGAGGTGGACTTGTTACTCGAGCTGGGAGTGCTCCATGCTCGTGGAAGGAAGGGAATATTTTATTCAAAAAGAAAAGAAAAAAGAAAAGAAATACGTCTCTCGTTCGGGCCATACTGCCTCTTCGTGGCAATACGACTATCACATTTTTGCTTCTACTTATCTCGCCCTCTCCCCCCTCCCCCTCTCTCTCACTCCTTCTTCCTCTTTCATTCAGACTTTTTCAACTTTCTCGCAGTCGACGGAAGCGATAGAGTTTATTGTGCTGACGTTCTTGCTTTCCGTGTCCGTTTCGCTTTTCGCGACACTCGACGTCGAAACACCGATATGAGACTCCTGGTGCATGGGCAGAATTCCAGCATTCGCGTCCTCTATTGCTTTCCTCAGCTGTGAACAAACGAGAGAAAAATCGTTCCAGATATACACACGTACGTACATTTCAACGGAATATCTTCAAGACATAGACTAACCTCTTTCAAAGCGACGACACCAACCAGCCTGCCAATGGCTGTCACGTAAGCGTGATTCACACCGACCATACTGAAAAGACTGTGTACTTTTAACAGAGACGTTCTTTCGACCAGCTGAAAGGGTGCAGGATCGATGTGACACCTGGAGAAATCCACCTCCAGCGCCATTTCGCTCTCTTCCCATCGTTTCTGATCCTCTGCTGACATATCTATCACCCTTTCACGAGGCTAAAATATTCAAAACTTATTTCTCTCGTCCTTATCCTGAAGTAGACATTAGAAAGCATCATATGCGGTTACCAGTTGCACTTTCTTCGAAGTAGCTGGACTTGGAGCTAACATAGGAGTGTGTGGCGGTACATCTTGACTGTCGCGCCTTGCACCAGCTCCCGTTCCAAGCTCCGGATCAGGATCCACGTCTTGCAGGGTGGCTGACTTGCGGAAAATCGCCTCGAAAGCCAGGCGTATCCTGGAGAGAAGGCCAAAGTATTTTCTCCAACGTCTCTAACAAAATTTCCTATGTCTGAGGTCTCAAGCGTATATTCTACCTGCTCTCCGCTCCGGTGACAGTTGTGTAAGGCGTAGCAGCTGGGCTGACCAGCGGACTAAACCCTTTCAGCGTGAACGAATTAGTCTTTTTCAGGATGGATTTCTTCGGTTGCGAGCCGAACACAGGCGAATGATAGGTGTGCTGAAAGGGAGCAAGTGTTAATTAGGATAAACAGAAGAGTCGCGTGATGACGCGAGTGCATCAAGTTAATCGAGCAAATGTGCACAATTATGCGTGACGTCAAGCGGGCGTGACTCACATGATCAGGAGCGGTGCCGTTGTTTGGAGACATAGTTAGATCGTTAACACTTTGCCGTTGCATTTTCAGAATGTCCGGTGCTGGTATCACCTCGAACCTCGACGGTCTCCTCGTTCTCTCTTGCTCCCTCAACTGTCGCTCCATCTCCTCTCTGGCTCTCTCCTCCGCCTCTTTGTGCCATTTTTGGGCCACCTGAACAGAATCAATTCGAAACCTCGAGCGCTCGTTACACACGAGAGGTTTATTCGTGGAAGTGACCAACCTGCAGCCTCCTCTCGCGTCCTATATGCTTCTCGATCAGTTTGATCAGTTCCAGCCTCTGAATGGAGCCAAGCAGAATCATCGAATCGGGATTATCGACCAGAGGAAAGCCACGCAGCTTGCGATTCTCCTTCAAGGTTTCCTTCAGCGTCTGATAGGTGATTCCGTGCCAAATATACCTCACGTCGCGTACCATGAAGTCTTCCACGTAAACGTTGTACATCCCTAGAACGATTACGATACAACTCCCCCTCCTAACACAACGTTCCTTTTCCAATTTCAACTAAACACCAAGTATTACCTCTTTATAAAAGGTGTATCGGTAAGCTTGATAAAAGAGAGAAGCTATATTTTAAACAGTATTTTCATCGATATTCACCAAGTGTGAGAAGATTTACCTGAACTGGAGGGGAGTAAATCCGGCAAGTAGGGTAGCTTCTTGATCAGAATGATGCTGTCGTATATGCTAGGCTGAAGGAGAGCAGCGATCGCGTTGCTGATCAACACGGCGATCATTATTGGAACGATATGTGTGATCTGGCCAGTCATCTCGAACACGATCACGCTAACGGAGATCGTATGAGTGACGGCGCCGGAAAATGCAGCTGCTCCAACAGTGGCGTAACCTCCTGTAGAGGAACTTTCCTTCAGACACACTTCCAGGGAAGGAATGTTTGCGGTTTCAACGAATTGAGATTACCTGGTACAATGGGAGTGATGATACCGCCGTAACGAACGCCGTTAGGAAACCACAAGGCCATAGCTTCGCCCACTGCTCTGCCTAACGCAGCGCCGATCTTAAACACAGGAATGAAGATCCCCGATGGAACGGGAACCGTGGAGCTTATGATGGAAAAGATGAACTGGAATGAAAAGATTCGCCCGTGGATCCTCGATCTTTCAACCGTTCCTCGTCTGTGAACGTCGAAATTTTACCGTGAACGCGACGAAACCGAACAATCCTATGAACACATCGGTATAGGTGGTAGACCAGTGTTTCACTATGTTCATCTCCTCGACGCCTAACTCTTGCTTGGTCCACGTGAAGTTGGTGAACAGACCGTACACTTGATCGTGTGTGTTCAAGTCACCGGCCATGAACTGGCCTAGTCCCAGAGGGAAAGATACGGACGATACCATCAGAGAAACGATTCCAGGATACAGGAAACGGCTGGAATTAGTTCAAACGCAGCAGTGAAGCACCCATCGTACAGAAACACGATACAGCGATCTGAAATATTAATCACTCACTTCTTCTGCAGGAAGCTGTTCATACTCTTGTTCTTCCTCATGAAGATCACGTACTGTCTATGCAACCAGACATAGAAAGCACCTCCTAGTCCGCTACCTACACCGATCAGAGCGAACACGAAGAGCTCCTGGGGATCGAAGGGAAAGTCCATGGTGAAATTGGTGACGAACATCGCGGTGATGGTTTCCTCGCGTTGAAACCAGATCGCCAGTAGCCGGAACATTGTGGCGCCGCAGACAGCAGCGAAGAATCCTCGCCAGTAGTTCCTCACAGCGAAATACACCGTGGTGACCTCGATGCTGAAGAGAACTCCTCCGATAGGTGCGGCGAAACAAGCTGCCACACCGACGGCACAAGCTGCAGCTAGCATCTCGCAGTTTCGACTCTCGTTCTCGTAGATCCCTTGGAAACTGGTGACCAGTTTCGAGAGCAGAGTGGCCACGATACTGGCGATGTGCACGAACGGACCTTCCTTGCCTAGTGGTAGACCGGAGCCCAGGGTGGCAGTCAGACCTATCACCTGTTTAGACATTAGGGTAGCTCTACATAGGGGCACGAGATCATGCAGAGGAAGATTTCGAAGGACGGACGAGGAATTAGGAGCTATCGGAAGGCTTCGATAAAGAATCTAACCTTTGCGACCAGAGTACGAAACGTAAGGTACTCCTTGAGTGCAACGCCACGCAGAATGGTCTTCATCTCTGGGATTCCGGAGCCTATGCTCTGCGGCGCAACGATATGCACGAAACCTGCGCTGAAGAGGATCAGGCAGACAGGCAAGGACACCCAGGCAAGATACTGGAGCGCCGGATGATGCGTCAAGTCCTGATAAAGCCATATCCTGGCTGGTGGAACAAGGACACGGTTAACAGACAAATCTTCGAGACGAAGTAAGGATTAACGACGTGGAAAATTGTGAAACCTTGGAATAGATTGAATTTTGCAAAAAAAAAAAAAAAAAAAAAAAAAAAAAATTAACCGTCGAGTAATTTCGCAGGAAATTGAATTTTTTTTTGTATAATCTTGTTAAACGTAGAGATCGTAAAGCTTGAGACTGACCGTTGTTGCACATAGAAATGCCACGGTCCATGGCGTAGCTGATGAGCGCCATGATCACACCGAGGAGAGCCAAGAAGACCCAGTCCTCCCCTAGCCTAGCTCCTGTATGCTTCCAGGCGAAGGCCAATAACGCAAGCAGCTTCCGGCATAGTGGTCCTCTTCTCGACTTCCGTAAATCCTCCGCCCTCGACTTGTCATACTTCCGCAACGCCTTCTCGTGATACTTGAGCTTCCGTGCCTCTTCTTTTGCGTACTCACCCAGATCCTTCGTGTAGCGACCATACATCTAGACGTATCACGATCATCGTCAATTTTCTTTTTCCTTCATTTCGAACCTCTCTCCTTTATTTTTGGATTTTAGCATTTTTTTTTCTCTTCTGCCTCGTTGAGGGAACACGATGCAATAAAATTCGCAGCAGTGCGTGGTGATACGTACCAAAGGATCGATATCCACGATCTTTCCTATCCTGACTAAAGAATCTCCGTTCACTTCTTTCGTTCACCGGCAGATCGAATATTCTCCCACGAAAAAATACTCCACGCGCGAACGTTTACGATCTCAAAGGTGTTTTCGAGCTAACGAAACGACGAACGCTCGTCTAATACGCGCGAGATCGACATCGTTGTTCTCGTTCGATTAACAACCGATCACGAGCGTCGAGGATTTTGTAGCTTCAGCTCGTTCAGATAAAATCAGTCATCCTCGACTGTGATTTATCTGACCCGTCGGAATCGTTGTTCTTTATTGCTCGATTATCATGCTGCTCTAACGAAAAAACACATTCCTCCTACTTGCAAGTCGTACAAAATTGCACAACAACGTGCTCAAAGCTGCCTCGATCGCAGATTCGAAGCGATTAATTAAAGAAAAGGGGGAAAAAAAAAAGAGATCGGTGCAACTATCGAGCGAGTAAGTGTATGGTAAACGAATTCAGTGGTACTAATCTGCGCGTTATTCTGTCGCGAAAATGATTTCGATAATGATTGTACGCGGGAGATTACATTGCCGACGATCGATCGTTTATGCGTGACTGCTCGAGATAACGTGTTATCGCACGAAAATTCTTTGGAAAAAATAATACACTACAAACACTACGATACGGAACAAAAAAGAAATAAGAAAAGGTGGGAGGGGGGAAGAATTGTACGGTTAATCTGTAAGTTATCACTTACTATTCGTCCTGATGAATGAACGGTGAGAATTCTGGGACAAAACTAATCGCAAATTCACAAATCCAGGCTGAATTAGTGAAACATCTCAAGATCTGACTCGTTTAAAGGTAGCCAGAGTATGAGCAAACAAATTCACATGGAATACGAAGAAAATAAGATTACAGAGTTCGACGACTTTGATTAGCTCGATCGAAATCGTGCATATCGGTGTTACTATATACATACATCGACGGTATTGAAAAGAATCGTGGAAAACATTTATAAAACACGCCAAACCTCTCACTTACGAGGTACTCATCGTTACAGACGAAATAGGCCCTGTTCAGGACGAAAGCCGGCATGAAAGCTGGATGAAGGATCCGCGATAGCTTCCTATCTGGCTCCTAATTAAAGGGACTCCGAATTCTTCGACCGATCGGTAAATTCAAGTCACAGACGAGGCGTTCCTCGTGTAGAGAACAGTTTTACGGGTTGTTCGCAGACCTTTGCACATTTCCTCCATTTGACAATTCGATCCTAAGTATCTTTCGACGGATCGACATTGATCTTTCGTGATTTTTACTGACAAATGAGAGAAAAATCAAAGGATTATTGCCCACTACCTTGATCCCCCGCTTATTGTTCCCACTTGGCAAACTTCGAAATTTCGATATTTTTGGCCACGACTTACCGCGAATCGTCCATTGCGTTTTTATTCTTCCCTTACGACGATTGCCAGGCGTCTACTTGTTACACCAACGGTCGACCAATTAACCTCGAACTTAACGACAGAGAACTAACGAGTGAAAAGAACATGGAAAATTAGTCTAAACCGATCTATCTAGAAATCTACACCACGATTCTAACATACAGAATTATCTTCACAATTTTATTCACATATTGTTCCCCCAGTTGCTTGTTTCTTTTTGTTATCTTTAAATTGCCTCCTTTTCCATTCTTCGTCTATCTAACGTCAAAAGAGATACTCCAGCACGATTGAATATTTGTTTTGTACGATTATTTCTGTCAGGCAGATTGGTATTTTCGCCGATGGTGGGTGGTTCAAGTGGTTCCAAGAAGGAGAAGACTAAATGAATATCGCGGATTCTCACAACGGGAGAGGATGCATCGTCGCGAATTTGCGGACGAACGACAACTGAACGACGCCGTTTTCCCTACCTTCCGATTCGAACTTGAGCCGCGATATTTGTTGAAATTTGGCAACAGTCAAAATCCTTATTTTTAGCGGTGCCCACCATCGGTCAACGACGGTCCCCTCTATTATCCATTGCTCATTAAACGTCCTAATCACCGGCGGCCGTGTCAGTTGCATCGATGGAACAAGGATAGATCGAAAAAGGGCGGTGCCTCGTTCTCTCCTCCTCCTCCTTCTTCTTCTTCTTATTCTTCTTCTTCTTCTTCTTCTTCTTCTTCTTCTTCTTCTTCTTCAGAGAGAGAGAGAGAGAGTTTCGCAATAGTGCAACACCTCGTGTTTATCGAAACGTTCGAAAAGCTCTTGGATCGTGAAAACGGGACGGAAATAACCGGCAATTTGCGGTACCGCTTACTACAAATTCTACACCCGATTACGTAGTTGTTACCGCTTCGACGTATGTATGATCCTGCGTGTTGAACAGCTCGCGAATATAACATCGACGTTTCATCCGTAGTCAGGTGAGAAATTTATGGAGTAGATTTAACACGTTCGAAAGAAATTCTCGAAATAATTTCAATTACCAACGGACGAAATTACTGTTAGGCAAATGTGTACGCACGATTGGTCAAAGATACGAGGAGATGGTATAGGTAGAGAAGTTAAGGTGGATTTTCATGTTTATTCCAAGTTGGATTCATCGTCACGTGAGTTTCAACGATAGTTAGAGAGGGTCAAGGTGTTTTACGCGGAAAGAGGAGAGTGAAACGAAGGCAAGAACGAACCGTGGATTGAAATATAGCGGACACCTGAACGAACCTGCGAATTTGACGTCAACGACGACCACGTTCCACTGGGCAATCAGCCCCCAACCCAATTTTAATAATTGACCCTAACCAATTTCGCGATACAATTAATAACGGCCTGATTCTGGTGGAAGCGTCGAATCGATACAAAATTCCATCGTCCTTCGCCATACAAATTACGCATTATCTGTCGCTTCTTTTTCTTCTTCGTTTTTTCTTCTTTTCACACTGGAAACTAGAAAAGGTGAGGACAGGTTTTTAGGGTCACGGCGCTACGCGTCTGTTTATTACTAAATGATGTTCGAGTCGCCTTGGAGTTCGAGCCTCTAATGGCCTGGTCCGTAATTTTAGAATCTAATTTTAAAGGCACGCGATTACAATTTACTCTAATTCGTATTTTTAGAATTCCATCATTCTTCTGCGGATAACTGTTATTCCTATCATTCCTCATTCGCGATTTACTCTACGCGTCCTGCGTACCTCTATTCACGCGGTATCATCCAAGAATTCCTCCCAGAGGAAAGAGAAAAAAATATTGGCACCGGTGTAACCGTAGAGCTTCGACAAAGTTATAAACGCACCCGCTTGTTGTTACATCTTCGAAATAACAACTGTATAATAACGCTATGGTAAACAACAGTCGCGCCTATCTTACGACACTGCCATCTGTTCGTCCATCTAAATCAATTTTCATATCTCCAAAATAACGTTCAGCCACATTTATAAATAAGCAAGAGCGTATCGTAAATATGGTTTCATATGGTGCAGTTCTACTCAGGCGGCAGTTAAGTCAGAAATATTTCACACGGGGGAGAAAAGAAAAATTGGATCGCAACGGAGATTCTTTCGTTCAACGAAATGGAGATGGTAATTTCCATCGAAAGAGCGGAAAATACGAAGAGTAACGCCTGTACCCGGATACGGTGCATCTGCATACCAGAGGAAAGCGATAAAGTGCGCGCGTTACACGCGTGTATGCGCGTGTGTGTGTAACAGGTCGAGAAGAGCGTACGGTGGAATCGAACCCGCGTGTCACGTGAGGAAATTTGCATGCTGGTCACGCGTCTCGTATAAACGTAACGAGTCCTTAAGCGCTCATTCATGCAGATAAAGGCATTGCTTAGAAAGGCGTCGCTGCAATGGTCCCTTTTCCGTTTGTAGGATTGAGCCGCGCTTACGCGAAATCATGAAGATTCCTCCGGTGAATTATCGAACGAGAAATCGTCTTTTTCTATCGGCGAGATCGTTCTCTATCTTCGACCAGCTCTGACCCAGAGAAACACCAAAGACAAGTTTCCTAAGGAATGAGCGACACGACGACGGGAAATGTATATACACGTCAGAGACACGTGAAACCTGTTCAACGAATGTTTCGAACGTCACGACATTACGTAAGCAATGCACTTTTATGCAGCGTGGTGGAAGAAGAAAGAAAGAAAAAATGAAGAAACGGTAGAACGACGTGATAACGCCGCGGTAGGTAAACCAAGGGACGGTTCGCAAGCCGAACTGAAAACTGGCTCTAAAATTGTCTAATTTCGCGTGGAAGTGGACTAATGCTGATTTCGTGTCAAGGTCGATGCACCATCCCAACTGACCAACGAGAATCTGACATTTTATTGACATTTGTGAAACCTGTTCCAGGCTGTGAGCGACAGACGTTAGACTTGTTAGGCCAACTGTACGAAACGGTTCTTACGGACAGGAGGAGGAGAAAAGGAAGAGAGAGATATAGGGTGCAGGCGGAATATCAGTTGGACAGAGTGCACGACAGAGCTGACAGGGATCGTGACCCGTTATTGCAAATCGTTCTCGTGGAACGTTTATTTAAAATGTAGTCTCTCGCCCACTTGGCAATCGTTCAAAGGTCGCGCTGTTGTCCACCGTACCGCCGGAATCGTGATAAAGAGAAAAATGTCTCGAGGGAACCTGTCAACGCCTGTTCCTCTCCGTCGATTTATCTTCTATTTTTCATACAAGAGATTTTCTGTAGACGTCGTTTAATCAAATTATTCGAATAAATGTTACACGATAGAGATGCGCGTGTGTGCTTGGCTGGAAACGAATTGCAGGTACAAAGGGGGAGAATGAAAGAAACGAAAAGCGTATCGCGTATATTGGCAGACGTCTACGTCGTCTGGGATTCGTCTGCTAGCGAGCAACACGGTTTAATTATAAATCTGTCCGGCATTGGTTCAACGGCATCAGCAGTAGACAGGGGGCTAGTCCTCGCCAAATTCTCATTTCCCATTGAACAACCGTCGTCGCCGTCGCCTATCCAAATGAAATTCTTTTCTCGACGAGAAGTAGCGAAGGAAGAAAAAAAAGAAGCAACGCAACGATGCATTCGTGCAAACTGCATCGATATATCTTTCCAAGTGCATGCACAAGATGCAATCACGATGCAAACGAATGCATTGGAGAAACGCAGAGAATCAGGATAGATTCGCTTACAATCGTGTTAATGTAATCGAAGGGATCGAAATCCTGTTGCTCCTCGTCCGCGTTCGGCGGAGGACACGGATAGAAAGCTTGCGAAGGTCTGACGAAGAAAACAAAAAAAGAAAGTAAAACATTGCAGAATTATGCGAATTATTCGTCTCGGTGTGGCACCAACGTGTTACGATTTATTTCTTTTAGATCAGTTGGAGGAAGTAAAAACGCGTGTGATGGATACCTGTGCGGTCGGTTCCGGCGGTTTTCCCGTAATTTCGCCATGAGTCTGGTGAATTCCTCCCATTCCCTGTCCACTTCCTCCTCGCTACCATCCGGATGATAGTGAAGAGTCTCCTCCAGGAGTTCCTTCTTCGTCGTTTGATTCGCCATCGTGTGCGCTTCGTAAAATACAGAAATTCGATTGTCTATCTGTGAAATTCTCTTTCTCTGAACGTGTAGCACCACCGTTAACTGTAGTTCCTCGAGCCTGATGGATTACGTAACCCCGTGGAAACCATAAAAATCATCCTCGAAATCCGTTTGACCCGCTCTTTCCGTCTCTTTCTCACGAGGCGATCGATAACGGTAGACTTAAGAAAATTTCCGCACGAGCAAACGGAGAATATTCACGCCGAGGTATCATCGTTTCTTCGTAGAGGATGCTCGTCGCAAGCGAGAAGAAGAAGCGTCGATTCTCGAGGCTCTCTCCGCGGTCAAGATGCGCGATAACATCTCTCTCGATCGTTTTATTTCATTTCCGTTTTTTCTCTCTTTTTCGCTTGTCTCTGTCGTGGATAAGAATGGAATAATCGGGAAGAAACGGGGGCACCGATCTTCCTGGTACTTTCTCGATTCGTCGAGTCCGTGTGACACTGACACTGACACTACGCGGCCGGAAGGAAAAATTGGCAAAAAGAAGCAGTTTAAAGCAATTGAATCGTAGGCCGGACCGTCGCACACGAAGCCAATGAGTCACACTGACAATGAGAAGAGAGAACCACCGTGCGGACCTCAGATGGGAGGGCCTGGTCCAATTTACCCACTCATTAGCCTCGCTCTCGGACTGTTGTCGACGTCGTCGCGCGGCTACGCTCTCGCGATTTTCCCCCGCGATATCGACGCTCTCCGTTGCGTTGCCGCGGACACCTCTGCGGTGTCGCCGCGTGGACACTCGCGATCGCCATTTTCTCGAGCTCGCAAAATTTTCACGTTCGTCGAAGAATGGACGGAAAACCGTATCAACTAAAATTTCCACCTATCTCTGGTTCTGGTATACTCCAAGACTGGAATTCCGAAAAGGCGAAAGGTCGATTCTACTTTACGATCGAATATTTTCCTCGAAATTTTCTTGTTTCTTCTTGTTTAGCGAGCTAGGTCGTGCTTTCGTCGTAGTTTCAGAGAAATTATCGAAAATATACAGATATATTTTCGTTCGACAGCGAACAGAGACAAAGCGACGAGAAGCACAGGGTCTTATCGGTGAGATTTCTAGTAGCGACTGTACGGTAGCCGTACACGGCAATTGGCCACTTCCCTCAACGAGGGCTCGTAGGAAGCTGCCTTCAAAGTCATCAGTTATCATTGATCAAAATTACCACGTAATTTGATGAATGGCTGTCTTACCCGATGCCGGCACCGAGCTCCGATCGATGACTCTCTCTCTTCTCTGTCACTTTACGCACGGGTGTTTCCGGTTCTGTCGGCTCGTTCTTCCAAATAAAATCAATTCCTCGATTTCTAAATCCGTCGTCGCTCGTAAAGTTTTCCTTAAGATTGTCCACTTTTCCCGTCCAAAAAAAAATCCTCTACGATTTGGAACTCTTTGGAGGCAATAGCACGACAAAATCGAAAGCACCTAATTACCGCATTCTAGCCGAAGTCTAATTAGTACGTACCTTTCCGTGCGTTACAGACCAACGATTAACGGAGCACGAAGGCAAATTGTTCGTATTTATCGGGCAACCATAGCTACGCTACTCGAGTCGAGCCGTAAATTCGCGTGTTTATCCCGAAAAGCAAAGAGATAGCAGATAATGGACCGGAAAGGATCGCCGACTCGAGTAAATTTGTCTAGACGAAGGAGTACGTCAACACCACCCGCCAGTGGCAATTATTGAATCTCTTCGAGCATCTCTTTTATGCGTAAACGATGAGAATATTACCGGGAACCGTATAAAACGAAGAAGAAAAAATATGTACTTTAATAACGTTACGCCGCATCCTGCGGCCTGTTTGCGTTCCATTTTACGAGCGCGGCATGCAGGTCTCGCGCAGTTCTTAGGAAAAAAAAGGAGCAACCAACGAGGAGATTTTATTTTTAGGTATCGAGGAACACTGGAACAACAACTGCATCAACTTCTGCTTGTTCATCCATGGAAGGTGAATTATCACTTTAACGTCAAATCAAACGCGAATCGCGTAAGAGTTTGGTAAAAAGAAGGGGAAAAAAGTGTACAGTTAACACGTTAACAACACATGTTAAGTGGCTGACAAAACGTCAAGTGACATATGGTAGCGTAATCTTTCCAAGATCCCGAACTTCTTCTTCTCATCCGCGCCGATGTTTCTAAAGTAGTTGAACGGATAAAAAGAAACAACGAGGTGTCGTTAACCCATTTGCATCGTTTGAAAAAAAGTGACAAATAGGCTCTTAACGTGAAATTTTAGCAGTCTGAGATTATTCACTGTCTGAATGCACGCGTATATATGTATATGCTAATGATGCAAATGGGTTTTTGGTTTCACTTTTTGTCGCTATTCGACGGAATAACACTCATAGTCCGTTTGTACAGGTCGCGAACGAAATCAGCTTGTCGACAATCGCCTCCGTGAACCGTGCAATTAAAAGTAAAACGCAATTTAACCGTTAATTACTAGGTAGGAATATTGAACGAAGCCACTTTGAATTTATGACCTGTGTAATTTACAGCGGCGGGAAAGGCTGACGAGCGGTGTGAATTCTTTCCGGGAATATAATTGTTCAACTACGTCGGTGAAACGACCATTCCGATCCTGGAAAGAACAAACACGCGCGCCATTACGTCGCCCTAAGTTTCTACGTAACTTCTCGAGAAGCTTTTGTTGCCTTCCCTCGAAAAATTATTTCCCACCGCTTTGCATAATTCTCCGTACGTTTTTGTTTCTTTGTGGACCCGCCGGCTATTGTCGGGCTTGTCGAGAACAATGGTCAGAATAATTTGACGATTTATCTATTCCTCTTTTCCTCGCACAAACAGCGAAGTTGTACAAAGTGTTACCTTTTGGATTTTGGTGAAACTTGGTAGATTCGTAGAGAAGAGAGAGACCTCCTTTAAACTACCTTTATTAATCGAGAAGATCGGTATTATCTTGCGGTGTACAGATGAAAAATTTGGATCGTTGTATAGAGACTCAAGATCTGCGAAAGATGAGACCATAGTTGCTCGACAAGTGTCACCATCGCGGATGTCCCATGGGTTCACGACCCCATGCCGGTATATTAGAGCAGTGAATTAGTTAATGTCAGTCACATGGCCGAGCAAGAGAATTACCTTCTCTCTCGTGATGCGTCAACAGTGCATACGATTACATTTTGGAGAAGATCGCTTGTTCAATCATTGGCCCTTCCTTCCTGTTTAGCCACTGGCTTTTGTTCTTCTGTGAATCATATTTATTTACTCCTCGATAAAGAAGAAGATGAAGTAGAGGAACCGTGAACTACGGTGTCTACCAGCAGCAGTTACCAGCGGAAAGGAAGAGCTCGAACGAGCAGTAATTCTCGGAGTAAACAGGGTCTAGGACGAGATAAACGTACGTGCATGCGGGTAGCCTGATCTAATGAGATAAATCTGATTAACGATTCCCCAGGACGATTAGGAAATTACACAGAACGTACAATCCATCGGAAACAAAAAAGATATATACAAATGAGTCCGTCGTTTAGTTAGATTTATTACCAATTTAATCGCGTATATTCTCCCGTCTTCTTCGTACAATCGTTCCTCCGCGTTCTTCGTTTTTTTCTTTTTTTCGCGCACGTGTACGATTATCCCCATTTAGGAGAGAAAAAAAACCCTTCGTGCGTGTGTTATCGCGACGAAAGGAGGAAAGAGCAGAAAAAAGAGGAAAGAAGGAGAAATAAGATAGCCCGAGCACGCCTTTGCAGCCTGCTCGATGATATGTGGCAACAAAACAAAGCGCGTCGATAACTTTTGAACCCCCTTTTACGTCTCCAGCGTGCAAAACACGATTCCGTCGTTTCTTCTTTCTTTGATTGTTCCTTTCCGACTTTGAAGAAGTCCACGGGTCAAGCAGAATTTTATAAGAGCCAATTCTCCAAGGATATCGCGAAACGAAGAGTATGCGATCGTATTCAACGATATTTGCTTCGTTGTTATTTTTCTTCTTCATTTTACAACTCAACGATGATCTCAATTTTCGAATAGAAAGCGGTACGTTTACAGATACATGACGAAATTTCTATTCGACATTTCTGCTCGAAGCTGATACGCGACACGCATAACCGAAAAGTATCGATTCTGTCGGGCATACAAATTTACGTCTGATCATCTCTCGTCAAGGCGATATTCTTTTTTATGACGAATAGAAATGATCCTCGTTTGCAAAAGTAATCCGAAAATTGCCGCAACGCAACGCAACGCCGATTATAAAATTATAGGACAGGCAAGGCGGTTGGTTTGTCCACGATAAGAGGGCCACCGAGGATCTCTTGTAAAAATTATCTCGGATCAATTATGCTCGCGCGTTCTTCATTTCAGTGGGCGATAAGAGGTTGAGGCAGACGCGGAGTAGTCTGCGTGTCTCCTCGATAACCCTGTTTACCACTAAGGGAAAATGAAAAGATCCGTTGGTCGACCACCCCTGATAGCTTTGCGCTTTATGAGAACAATAGATAACTGTTACGTCGAAAAACCGTCAGAGACTTGAAAATACAACATCCAAGTACCTGTCGAACTGAAACTTGAAAGAGAAAAGAGAACAGAAACATCGATATCGCGAGAAAAACTTGATCGCTTGAAACTTCATTGTACGACCAATTAAAAAACGGCACAGCTAATTTCTACGAGTGCTATACACGACAATCCTAATCTCTGCGATATCATCCTTGTGAAATAATTGCACGACGAGGTGTGTAAGCACGAGAATTCTAACGAGGATCGAATTTCTTTAATTCACGTGATTACCAGATAAAGTTTCCATCGACGATAAGAACCGACGAAACGAATAATCCTGATCGCAGATCCATCGACAGACCATCCTATTTTATGCAAAAGTCCCTTTCGTGTTGTTGTCCACTCGATGATCGTAGCTCTCGATCAGTAATCAGTGCAATCGAGATCCCGCGTGTAAGTCCAAGGCCGTTTCAACATCATCATCGACCAACGATCAGACCGCAACACGCTGGTTATATCATAGCGAGCATCGTTTCCATTAAATCGGCGAAACGGACACGCGAACCTCGTGTCCCCGCGTAGCGTATAAACATTACGCGAAAAAAAAAAAAAACAGATATGTTATTAACGAGTGCATTGTTTCGTTGTTAGAATCGAGGTAGGCAATATGAGGTAAAAAGAAACGTTCGTAAAAAAAGAAATTATAATATTCTCTCTTGTATGAAGTATAAAAATACGCTTGCACCCTTTTGTACTGAGAATTTGGCGATCTTGCGGTGGATACATTGTCTCAGAATAAAGGCACCTTCTTGCCATGGACGAAATCAAGATGTAATACTGTGCTCACCGGTGCGTCAATGAACAACAACGACAGAAAAATAACAACGAATTATCTAAAGAACACGAATGGTGCACTTTAACGTCCAATTATCCTAAACCGCTTTCTTTGCAATCAGTTTCATAGGTTGCACTCCCATTAGCTCAGCGAACTCTTTGGACGCTTGCAGCTGATTAGGATGGTAGGTGATGCCACCCTCTTTGTCCACGCGTGCCATTGACGCCTTTTCCGGGTCCCCAGCGATTATAACAGGCTTATCACTGACGGTAGGCAGGTCCCTTAATTGCTGCAAGAGTTTACCCAATCTCTCCTCCGATCCAGGACCAAACGCCGCCGGATCGACGGCCATGAAACACTGGCCGAGATTAGCAATTTTGCTCTTGTTCTTCCACTGTCTGATATTAGAACCGAATTCGCTCCCAGAGAGAACTCCACAAAGAACCTCGACCATCAGACCCAATCCGTAACCCTTGTACCCTGAATTATTCTCTTCCCCGCCCAGAGGCATTAACAAAGATGCTTTGTACGCGTCCTCGGAGTCTCTAGTTGGCTTTCCGTCAGTTCCAAGTGCCCAACCCTCGGGAATAGGCTCCTCCTTCCTGATAGCCAGCTCGATCTTTCCTAGAGCTACGGCTGTCGTCGCCATATCCAGGACGAAACTGTCACCTCCTGCAGCTTTCATTCCCAAGGACAGAGGATTCGTGCCTAAACAAGCTTTCTTGCTGCGTGTTGGAGCCATCAGAGGACTGGTGTTCGTACAGGTGAAGCCTATCAAGCCTTGCTCCACCGCCATTCTCGTGTAGTAACCGCAGATACCGTAGTGATTCGATCCACGAACTGACACCATACCTATACCGAATTTCTTCGCCTTTTCCATGGCCATCTCCATGCAGAATTTCCCAACCACCTGGCCCAGCCCGTTGTTTCCGTCCACCAGCGCTATAGCCTGGAAAGAGTTTGATAAACTTTGCGACCAAGTCTGGATAAGCGGGTAGCTTTTCAGCGACAGCAGAGAAAAAGTCGTCCGAGTTCAGAGAGTGTACAGTGTTTTTGGCAGTGTTTATCTGAAGAGAGTTATACTTAATTTCAAAGGGTGAGATAAGCGAATCTATTTCGAAATTCACTATCTGCTATCTCTCTGCTTTTCAATTAGATTGCCGCTCTTTTCTGTGTCATCGGAGAGATCTCTCTTGCTCCGAGTGTGTATTCAGCGAAATTTTCGTAACAGAATGGACCAAAGAGGAATGAAGTATTTGCGGCTGATTCAGGCCGAGATAACGCGTATTGCCTGACAGTGGCGCGGTCTTAAAACGCGGGAAATATAAAGTAAACCGGTGGAAGCCGGATTCCAAAGACTGTACAACGTCTCTGCTGTCCTGGAAGTTGAGTATTTTCACTCGCGAGACTGTGTACGACGAATGCCGCCGCGGAGGACGATCAATTAACACCGTGACTGTGCCACTCCGTTCTTGCCCCTTAAGAATAATTCAATCAACTGTGAGTTACACAGTTTCAGAGAAGACTGAACACGGTAAATTGAATATATTACGCTCCTTCGTCCCGATCAGCCTCGTACAACGTTACTATTCCCACGTGTTTGCCTATCCATTCATCTACACGGCTTTAGCGTGAAACGAAACAGATAGACACACACTACGAGATCTATCGTAACATCGTCTACGAACCGTGATCTCTGTCGTGCATAAACATCGACCTCACAACTATGTCTCTCCAGTTGATTAAACGAACAATTAATTCACCGACCACGAACTAACGACGTTGAATCTTTAAACAGCAGTCAACCGAAAGACCGAGAGAGTAAAAAAGCACTTAAGAGCGCTGCTAAAAGAGGTTTACGATACTCCAAGTACACAGTCTCGATTCGCCAAAGTACGATCTTCTGTATACCTGAAAATCAGTGACGACCTTCGGCTTGGCCACAGGATCTGTCATCTCGTCCTTGATATCCTGCACGTACATTTGCATTCTATTCATTCCGTGGCTAAAATGACCGCAGTAGTCGGCGGTCATCAGGTGATGACCGACCGTTCGACCATCCTCAGGTGTCGTGCCACTCTTGGTCAAGCACTCGGCGATGAATCTGATCACATCCTCCTTAGGCACCACCATTTGCTCTGTAGCCCGATTAGAGGCCATCCTCGCGATTACAGGGGCCAATTTCAGAGAATATTTCAAACTCGATGCGTTGCTGCACGCAGCCAGTAGACTTCTGTGCACGTTCGACATGATTGTCCGCCTCTGAATTCGCGACTCGATCGAGATTGATTAATCAATGTAAATCCTCCAATCGGTGTGATCGTGAACTTTCGTTATCGAGGACCAAAGCGAATAAGCGAATTTCACCGATCCATCGGGAGAAGCGACGTATGCCGAACTGATCGATTCTTCGACATAGGTTATCGCTGCTCTTATCACAGCCAAGTTAAGATCTCATTATCACACACGCGACAAGGTCACGATGTTTTTTTACGACGATGGAGTAAGAAATAACAGTGATTTCAGTAAGTTTCTCTCGCTTCGTGCGTTTGAATTTACCGCTGTGTGAAATCTGCACTTCTAGTTGCCTTTATTGTTGCGTAACTTTTATCGTGGATTCTTCGCAGTTGTATTGTCCACGGATTTATTTACGACTCGCGAAAAGGATATTTTTCCCGATGTTGTTCGATGCCCGATAGAACGATGGTTTCTTCTTCCGTTAAATCACGCGATAGGGTACGAACAGCTGATTCATACGTGTAGATCGTTGAAAAACTTTCGCGGAGCGATGAGACACGTTGGACAAGTCTCGCAACTCCACTACTTACGTCAGCTCTCTCCGTGATACATATTGGTTACACTGACTGACGTCGATCAAGCGGGAACGTTCAAACATCGAGAGATATCACCGCGAATTTTCCGTGATGTTTCGTGATACATCAGTCGAATTGATCCTTTTCATTCTTATCGTACATTCTTCTTTTCTCTCCAAGTTTAATCTTCAA